AAGCTTTAAATTATCCACACAAATGTTGAGATACGGTATATTTCTGTTTGAAATGAAGTTTCCGCATGTTGTGCTCCTTGACAAACGTGCACTGCACGAAAAAATTGTCAATAATTGCCGCTCGTATTTGCGTTTACGCTCATTCGGTGAGATTCACTTGACTGAAAAAAAAAAAAAAAAAAAAAAAAAACACGGTCGGCCGATAGAGCCCTGTCCAGCTCTAATTTGCCCTATATGGCTCTGAGGAACCTATATCAACCACCGTAGAGGTTCTCCCCAGGCCTCTGGTGGATGTCCTTCTGGGACATATGAGTATCGCGTGTTTACGTGCTCCTTTTCCAGGATGCTGGCTAGCTCAGCCATATTTCTAGATAGATCTATGAAAGTGCTTTGCACATTGATTACGTTCGGCTTGGATAACCCAACCAAGTTCGAGGCTGCAAGCCAGGGCCGCACCCGCTCAGAAACGCATCCCAAAATCCACTGCCTGAACACCTCCAACAGATGCGGGAGATAGGAAGGCTCCGAGAGAAATGTGTCTCGGAGGTGCTCTGTCATCCATCCTGAGGGGCCTGGTGCTGAGGCTCGCGCTGCGGAATGAATAGCATGCTTGAGGATGTCTTCAGTTAGGTGGGGAAGATGAGAAACGTCTATGCGAAAGTGCTCCACCCACTCAGGAACTGGCACCTCACTGGCCGGGTGCTTTGCTGTCAGCCGGTCTACTGTTAGTTGAGAGGGCTGCGCCAAGTCGCCCGCAGTAAGGCATGCTAGTCCTCGACTCCATTCCCCCACTTGGCACCTCGTGCGACATCGGGCCAAACGGATGGCATCAGCATCTCGCTCAGGTAAGGAGAAGGCAAGAGGTCGCGCCGCCGGAGTCAACGCGGCAGAGGCAGCCTCGAACAGCTGTTGCCATTCCCCTGCCCAGAACTTTCCGAGACGCCCTACTATGGCTGCCCTTCGTCCAAGACCCTCCTTCGCGGGGACTCCCAAAATGAGGCGCGGGAAGGCCAGGAACATCAGCGTCGCCGCCTCATCCCCAGGGGAAGCCTTCAGTCTCTTGAGAATGCAGCACAATGCATCAAGCACCCCCAGTCGCGCCCGCTGCGGGACCCGACGAAGAAGCTCTCCCGACACAGAATGAATACTGAAAAAAGTCTCCCAGTGCATAGCAGGGGAGGGAAGGGAACCTAGAGCAAATTGCAACACACTCACTACGGCTCTTTTTAGAAAGGAATAATCATGCTTAGGCCAGTGGTATCAACCTACCGTACTTACAATCAAAAGCAAGAGGCAGTACATACACCATCAATTGCCTCCTGGAAAGATCCTAACGCATTTGTACCCCTTGCAGCTTCGCACAAACGGAACGCAGATATGATTCGAGGGACAGACCTTCCTCAACAAGCACGGTTTATCATTTCCGTTATTATTACAAACCCATGGGCACATGCGGCGCTTCTTGACTGCGCACCCGGAGGGAGGAGGAGGTGGGGTAGAAGGCCCCGGAACAGGTGCAATCACTGCTCAGAGGGAATAGGAAGAGGGTAAACACGTACAGGGAAAACAGGAAAGGGTAAACAGGAAGTCGTTAACAGAAACAGAAAGAACGTAAGTGGCAACTTGCTGCTATTTAATAGGAGAATAACAGGGAAAACAAGAAAAGGGTAAATTACAACAGGGGTAAACAGGAAGAGGGTAAACCTGTAAAGGACAAACATAACGAGGATTTACGGGAAGAGGGTAAAGCTGAAGGGGGTAAAAAGGAAGTGGGTAAACATGGGGAGGGTAATGTGAGGGGGGTGTGAACAAATGTGATGTCGATTAGAATTGCCGAATACAACCCCTCGTAGAGTGAGAGATGGGAGAGGAGGCAGGAGGGAAATCACAGTACAGGGTGAGGTGACTTTTGCGTCGACTCAACAGTCCCCTCGTACTAGGGTGAGAGATGGGACGCCCATCTCTTGGAGAGTAGGCAGGGCGGAGTAAGGAGAAGCACAGGGCGCCCGAGACAGGTGGTATCAGCAAGCAAGGACCAGAACAGCAAGGACACGTGGGAGAGCCACTGCGTGGCAGCACAGAACAGCATTCGGCAGACGATGCCGCGAACAGAACACGTGGGAGGGAGGAGTAAGGAGGAGTAGAGGATCGAGAGAGACAGGTGGTATCAGCAGGCAAAGGGCCGTCTCATCATCCGGCGGTCACAGCATGATGATGCCGCGAAGAGAGCATGTGGGTGGGAGAGGCGCTGCGTGGCGGGAAGCATGTCATCATGGCGGGAAGGCCGCCGTGAAAGCCGCCGTGAAAGCCTCCGTGAAAGCCGCCGTCAAAGCCGCACGAACATCCTAGGGGGCCGAGCGAGCACGAGGAGCAGAACGCAAACGCCTCAAAAACCGCGAGAAGAATCATCTGAGGCGCCTCAGATGAGCAACGAACCTCCTAGGGGGCCGAGCACGAACCTCCTAAGGGACCGAGCAACGAACCTTCCAGGTAGGCGAGAACGAACCTCCTAAGGGGCGAGCACGAACCTTCTAGGGGGGCGAGCACGAGGAGCAGAACGCAAACAGCGAGAAGCGTCACGTGGATTCCGACGAGAGGCGGCGCCGCCGCCGAGGCACGACGAGGCGAGGAGAGACGAGGCGAGGGGAGACAATCCGAGGGTAGACGAGCGGAGGGGAGGCGAGGCGAGGGTATAAGAGAGGACGACGAGGCCACAACTGAAGACACGCCCTCGTTTGCTGAATCTGTTGCCGCGGATACTACTGCACGCCGCGGCGTTCCCCTCATCTTTGGGAGCGGCGACGGCCGGGACGTGAGATTCTGAGGCGGCTTATATCGCGTATGTCACCTCCCGACGTCAACCTGGTGCGGTTTCTGCGCTTGGCAGCGGCGATTAGATCCCGTTCGAAAGGGGATGGTTGAGTTTCGGCCGGCTTGACATGACACACACTGAGCTTCGCCATGAAGACTACTCGTCTTTACCAGGCTGGTGCTATCTTACAGAGCCGATCGGGTTTGCTCCGGTCGGGAAGAATCTGCTGCCAGAGGGTGTGGAGAGCCAATAAGCTTGCGGCGATGTCGGCTAACGATTCAGAAGAAGGTACACCCTCTTTCTCACCTATCTCACCGGCGGAAGCACTGGCTACAGTGTTTGGACGTAGCGGGCTGGTGAGATAACTCGGTGGCGGGCAAAGTCGCACGAGGGTTTGAAACACGCCTTGAATAACCATTCCAACCGCTTTGAAAACAACAGTACCGTTCCAGAACTTAAAAAACCTTGACTAAACGCCCTGGGTCAAATTGTCACTATAACGCATGTGATAGGACCTTCTTGGGTCCGGTGCGGTCACACTAAGCGTCTCGGTCAGTATAACATATGCTAGTCTATCGAGAATGAGGGTGTACAACCCACCCAAGTCAACCTGAGGGATTCGCGAAAAAGGGGCACCCTAGTTTTGTTCGGTTCGCTTCGGGTCGCTTCGGTAGTAGCTCCCAAAGGGGAAGCAAAGGCGGGGGTTACGGGGGATGCAGGTAGGCAAAGAAGGGGTACGGACGATTCTCGTGTTCGGAAAAACCTATTCGATATATATATATATATATGTGTGTGTGTACACTGTTTCCTAAGGCTGATAGCGATGTAAGAAATACATCACATATGAACATCGTGTACTACATAAAACTCGCCAATTAAAGCCCGAGGTCAGCATGGTTTTTTGGAAAATCGAATAATGGCTTTAACATGGTTGGCGAAAGCCAAAAAACGTAGCGAGAGCCAAACCAGCTAACGAGCAAACCTTGAATTCGTCACTCAACTGTGCGACAGGCTTCTCCAAGAATATGGGAAGAGAAGCCTCGAGCCCCTGAAAATGCCACACTGAAGGGCGAAATTGTGAGAGGCCCACTCTCGAGAAGGGGAATCCCCTAGCGATGCAGGGCGACAACGCCAGAGACGCACGCGACTTGGGTTTAGGGCATCGCAGCCAATCAGCCCTCTAGAAATGCATCTGTGCAATCGAATCGCAGGGCGCGACGTGAGCAGAAAAACGAAAACACAGGGTGTTGCGCTCGGTGTAAATGGATTGGCGCGATCACATGTGGTAGGTAGAAACAGGGAACCAGCCGCAAATGCGACACGATAGCTCCAGCCACGTAATGCTACGTGCCTGATGGTGCTCAGGAGGAACTGGTAGGTCCCTCGACTACCAGCAATGCTTGTCCTTCGGCAGGTGATACAACAATAAAGCTAAGCGTGCACGTGAGACCGCGGCGCAGGAGAAGTCAACGTAATTCCCAGACTAATGCAACGTTTAGCCTGAACGTGGCACGTACGGAAAGCACGAAGGATGCCGGTTGTTGAGTTTGAGAGAGAAGCATCAGTGGGAGCGTACTCACATGGCAGCAAGGTGTCGAGCGGAAAGGCCTACTCTCTCTCTACGATCTCAAAGAAAACATAGGGGAAGACGGAGTATCTGTGAGGAAAACATTCAGTGGAACTTACGAACGCGATTGAATACCCCAACGCCTCCAACTACGACGATAGTGCGCAGGACCAAATCGACAATACGCATGCGATTGCGGTAGGAGGGAGGTAACGGCGAGCGCCAGGGAGAAGACTAAGAGAGGAGCTCAGATTTATAGGGCGACGAGCTGCACTACGAGCGTGACGCAATTAGAATCGGTAAGAGGGTGGCAACGGGAAAATAGATTACTATAGTCACCAGGTCAAGCGTCTTCATTGACACGACGTGTCTTGAGATTCCGCAGCACAAACAGCTCTCGTTGCAATACCCCGCGTGTTTCACTGCGGAGTTTCCGGTCCACCGATTCGGCACTGACAAAACTCAGACCGATACATGTGCAGTAACGGGCATAACGGAAACTGCAATAAAGGAAACTGCAAGTCGCGACTGAGCTCCTACTGTCGCAGTAACATGCTTTAAAGCATCTATAGTCACACCATCCCCTTCCCTGCTTCCCCGTGTCCCTTTCCCTACTTCCCCATGACCCCTTCCCTGCTTCCCCATGTCCCTTTCCCTACTTCCCCATGTCCCCTTCCCTGCTTCCCCGTGTCCCCTTCCCTACTTCCCCATGTCCCCTTCCCTACTTCCCCATGTCCCCTTCCCTTTCCACGAGACGAAGGGAGGGTGACGGGCGGAAGGGATGGCGACGGCGGAAGGGAGGGCGACGGGCGGAAGGCATGGCGACGAGCGACGGGCGGAATCTATGGCGACGGCGGAAGGGAGGGCGACGGGCGGAAGGGAGGGCGACGGGCGGAAGGGAAGGTGACGGGCGACGGGCGGAAGGGATGGCGACGGCGGAAGTGAGTGCGACGGGCGGAAGGGAAGGTGACGGGCGGAAGGGAGCGTCGGCGGAAGTGAGTGCGACGTGCGCTAGGGAGAGCGACGGGCAGTAGGGCGACGGCGGGAGGGAGTTTGATGGGCGTAAGAGAGTGCGACGTGCGGAAGGGAGTGCAGGCGTGCGGAAGGGAGTGCGACGGGCGGAAGCGGGTGCGTGGAACGTACATGTGAGTCGAGCGCCCGATCCGTGCGCTTGATTCGTGCGCTTCGAACGTACTTGCGAGCGCCATCGTCCCTGTAGAATTGGGGCGTGACATGACGTTTTTCTTTAGGCTGGCTAATTTTATTTTTGTTGGAGCGAAAAAACAACAGACTGCTGCAAGGATATAGACATCTCGCTGCCATTGTCTAAAAGCGATACTACGGGCTCTTGTGGTCCTGAACAGCGGAGCGCACTACGTGTCCTAGACTCAATATGGCTGCACATAAGTACAACTTGGTTTTCAAGTTTACTGAATGTGAACAGTGGTCCAACTCCCGTTGACACTTCACGCGGAATCCTTTTTTTTGTCGCTGGCCAATCATGCATCAGAGTTGTGAAGCATCTCATCCGTGAGGGGACGGAAAGCTGCACTTCGGGTGGTAACCTGGTTTTTGGCGAGTTCATATTCAAGAATCTTGAATTTGAAAAATGCCATGTGGAACTCGGGCTTTAAGTATCCCTCGTAACGAAACTAAGTTCACTGTAAATATTCAACCTCTATCGCCTACAGAGAATATCTTAAAGCACATGTACCCCTCGCAGCTTCTTACAAATGGAATGCAAATATGGCCGTTGGGGCAAACCTTCAACACGCAGAGGCACCGCTGCTTGATTGCGCAGCTGGTAGAACAATATACAACCAGGTACTACTACAACAATTTAAAGGCAAATACATCACCCCTTGTTGCCTACAGAAGAAACCTTGAAGCACTTGTACCCCTGGCAGCTTCGCACAAAGGGAATGCAAATCTGGCCGTTGGGGCAAACCTTCCTCAACACGCATGGACGCTCCTTCCCCTTCTTGTTGGGATGCTCCTTCTTGTTGTTGTCACACACCCACGGGCATATGCTCCGCTTCTTGACGACGCAACCAGGGGGCGCAGGAGGGGATGTGGCGCCAGGAGGAGGAGGGGGAGAAGGGGGAGGAGAGGGAGGAGGGGGAGGAGAGGGAGGAGGGGGAGAAGGGGGAGGAGGGGAAGGAGGGGGAGAAGGAGGAGGAGGGGAAGGAGGGGGAGGAGAGGGAGGAGGGGGTGGTGAGGGAGGAGGGGGGGGAGAGGGAGGGGGGGAAGAAGGGGGAGGAGGGGAAGGAGGGGGAGGAGGGGAAGGAGGGGGAGGAGAGGGAGGAGGGGGAGGAGAGGGAGGAGGGGGTGGTGAGGGAGGAGGGGGAGGAGAGGGAGGGGGGGAAGAAGGGGGAGGAGGGGAAGGAGGGGGAGGAGGGGAAGGAGGGGGAGGAGAAGGAGGAGGGGGAGAAGGGGGAGGAGGGGAAGGAGGGGGAGGGGACGGAGGAGGGGGAGAAGGGGGAGGAGGGGAAGGAGGGGGAGGGGAGGGAGGAGGAGAAGAGGCGATAACCGCAGCTATAAGATCATGAGAAGGGTAAACACAAAGAGGGTAACAGTACGAGGAGGGGAAACAACTTGTTTAGATAAAGAACGGGAAGGTATCAGAAGCAGATGTAGATACGAAATGCACATAGCCATTGAGTTGGGAAAGGCGCGTGGAGAGCAGACAGGAGGCGATTCCGCATTGGTCACATCCACAGCTACACGAGAAGGGTAAATACGAGGAGGTTCCTACGAGAGGGGTAAACAACCTGTTTAGATGGTACACACGATGAGGGATAGTACAGGGACCACTAAAAGAGAGGCTTAGACAGGAGAGGCCAGAAAGGTGAGAGTAGTAATTTTAAAGTTTTTTTTCGCACCTCCCTTTTCCGCGATGTCTCACCGTTGGAGGGAAAAAAAAGGAGAAGGTGTGCAAGATAGATTCCGTTATCAAACAGGCGATAGTCCTAAAACTCTTACAACTCTTGCACAAGAGATGGTCCGCCCGACCACTGATGATATGTGGGAAAGTGACTCACATGGCGCGATACAGACAAGAAGAAGACTAACGGCAGCGAGAAGCATTCCGTCCTTTGTAGTACAAGCCATTTCGTCTCCGACTCGGGGAAACCTCGGCGAGCGTCGATCTCTCGGCGATTTCTCGGCGATCTCTCGGCGATCTCGCGGCGTGACTCGTGACTCGATGATCTTTCAGGCTGAAGCGACAGATCGCGCGACGTGGGGTACGCGGGTACGCGCTCGTAGTCCTTCGCTTGCGGCGAGTAGAATGGCGTGGCAAGCAGGCGTCACGGTGACAAAAGGAGAGGATCTGAAGTGCACAGCCACTGGCTGGCAGCACAAAGTTTGACTCAAACTAGGGGTACTACTACTACTAGACCCGGGATTGCTATTACTACTACTATGTAGAACCCCTTGCAACTGTGGAGTTTAAATAGCGTGCACCATGTTGGCAGCGCAAGCCAGCGTAAAGCCTTACGAGCAGCGCAAAGACTTGCGGAGCGGCGCAAGCCTTGCGGAGCAGCACCATGATGGTGGATATCACCTCCGCAAGGCTTTGCGCCGCTCTGCATGATGGTGCTGCCCACGGACAGCACCATGGTGCCAGCCTGAGGTGGTGATTTTTCCGCGGCCGGTCCTCAGCTGGAGCTGCTCAAGCCTTGCGGAGCACCATGGCAAGCACCAGATGGTGCCAGGTGGTGCATTTGCCGCGCCTCAAGCGGAGCAGCAGCATCACGGACAGCACCATGATGGTGCCAGGTGGTGACTTTGCCGCAGCCGGCGAATGAAAACGAGACACCCACCGACCTGTCCTTACGATAACGTATCTGCAAGTATCCATCGCATCGCGAATACACCCTCATTCTCACCTATCTCACCGGCGGAAGCACTGGCTACAGTGTTTGGACGTAGCGGGCTGGTGAGATAACTCGGTTGCGGGCAAAGTCGCACGAGGGTTTGAAACACGCCTTAGGCCGTAAAAACCCGTTAACGTTGAATAACCATTCCAACCGCTTTGAAACCAACAGTATCGTTCCAGAACGTAAAAAACCTTGACTAAACGCCCTGGGTCAAATTGTCACTATAACGCATGTGATAGGAGCTTCTTAGGTCCGGTGAGGTCACACTAAGCGTCTCGGTCAGTATAACATATGCCAGTCTATCGAGAATGAGGGTGTACTACTACTCGTGAATCCGTACTAAAAACCGTCGGTTCAAACAAATTCAAGAAAATGTCGGTCCAAACCATATTCAAGATGGATGTCGTGGATTGCACGAAACCGTCTAGATGTCGTGGATTGCACGAAACCGTCTAGATGTCGTGGATTGCACGAAGCCGTCTAGATGTCGTGGATTGCACGAAATCCCATCTTGTCGTTTTGGACGGTGTTCATGCTTGACAGCCAGCATCCAATTGTCTGACTCGCAGCGTGTGGTTGCGTGGGAGCAGCACAGCTCAAAGCTGCTAAAAAAACTAGGTCTCTACCATCTGCTTTAGCTTCCTCTCTTCTTCACACACAAGAATACCAAGACAAGGGAACCAGGGCGTTTTCAAGGTCGCACTCTGGGGCGTCAAGTACAAGCCGCTTCCGAGGCTTGAGCAACGACTTTTTGCAACCTTGCTGGGTGCAACGACTTTATCTGGGTGGAGCTCCCGAACAAGTTGAGTGTTACGAATTGCGGTAGGAGGATGGTTGACTTCCTGGGTACATTGCCTGACTTCATGAGCAAAACACGCCCTCTATGACTGCCCGAGAAAAATTAGGTTGCACCCCTACCCCCTCTTTGCGGTATAATGGATTCCAATATTCCAACGCTCGGCTTGTAGAAACTTGAGGCGTTTCATACGAGTTCTTGCTATTACGGTAAAATACGATTCTGTGCTTCTCAGAACGGCTGGTATTAACTTTCTTACGTTTGGGTAGAGTTTTGAGCGAAAACGAAGAGTGCGCTTTAGTCAATCTCCAGTTACGTTTGACATTTATATTTGTGTTAATTTCCTGTTTTGTTGTTTCTTTTCCCAGACTGACCACCCTTGTACATTCAAGCAGTGCCCGTGGGTTACAAATGCCAACGCTACCCGGGAACTCTTCACGAACCTCTGACGCAACCGACAAAACTGTCCTTGAACCGAATACAGTAGTCACGACTTTGAGAAATTTGTTTCATTTGCCCTGAACGAAGGAATAGTTTCCGCCCTTCCCAAACCTGGTGCATCGCATCAGACTAGTGTGCACCAAGGCGATTCAGCACCACATCACTAGCATCATGAACGTATATTTGCTTTTGTGGATGTCACACCACGCTACCTCTTTCCACAGCTTCACACACCTTTCCGAAAATTCAAGCAACTGAAACCTCCACAAGTTCAGTTCAGATCAGACCAATCGACAGGCATGTCGGTCGGGAGGGAGTCCCGTCCGCTCGGAAGGATCCGCAAGGCGAAGCAAAAGCGGGGAATGCAGAGGTGCAAGGCACGACTGCGCACTGAGAACTTCCGCTTTTAGAGACGAATTCGATTTCCGCTTTGAGAGACGAATTCGAGATATACACTGTTTCGTTAAAACTGATACTGACAAATGCATCACAGATATGCATGAACGCTCTAAAGTGGTTGGTAGTATCCCTTGTAGCATAACAAAATTCACAATACATTTTTCAATCTCATCACCTACAGAACCCTAAAGCACTTGTACCCCTCGCAGCTTCTTTCAAACGGAATGCAAATCTGGCCGTTAGGGCAAACCTTCCTCAACAGGCAGGGGCGCTCCTTGTTAGGGCTCTCTTTATTTTTAAGACGCTCGTCTTTGTCATTGTCACACAACCAAGGGCACAGGCGCCGCTGCTTCCTTGCACAGCTGGTTGAGCGGCCCCGAGGAGGAGGCGAAGGAGGCAGCGGAGGAGAAGGAGGAGGGGGAGGCGAGGGAGGAGGAGGAGGAGAGGGAGGAGGGGGAGGTGAGGGAGGAGGGGGAGGCGAGGGAGGAGGAGGAGGCGAGGGAGGAGAGGGAGGAGGTGAAGGAGGGGAAGGAGGGGGAGGAGGGAAAAGAGCTAGAGGCGGAGCGGGCATCACGACAGCTATAAGATGAGAAGGGTAAACACGAGGAGGGGAAAATACGGGAGGGGGCAAACAACTTGTTTAGATAAAGAAATCAGGAGCAAATGGAGATACGAAACGCAGATAGCCATTGAGTTGAGAAAGCAGCGGGGAGAGCAGACCAAAGGGGGCACATTCGAAGGCATAACATGAGAGCAGAGAGGAGACGACTCCGCATCATTCGGCACATGCACAGCTATGCGATGAGAAGGGTAAATACGAGGTGGGTAAATACTACGAGGGGGGTAAGCAGCTTGTTGAGAGGGGGGTAAACACGAGGAGGGCATTCGAAACGGTGTGTGGATACGAAAGGCAGAGAACGCTGGGAGAAATGGAAAGGAGCCCTAGAGGGGTAGAAGAAAGGAGGGCAGAAGGCGAGACTCGGAAGGTAGAAAAGGGGAGAAACGCGTTCAAAGAGACCCGTGTCAAAGAGAGAGGTACTGACACGGGTTCACGATAGTGCGCGCTTCTACAGGCACGGGTCTGATTGACAAGGAAAACGCGGCGAGCATGTGAAAAAGCATGACTCACGTGCTGGCGCGGCGATTGAGGCAAGCAGAAGAGTAACGGCGGCGAGGAGCAATCGGCCATTGGAACTAATAGTAGGCGCAGAGGTACAAAAGCGCCGCATGGGGTGGCGAGCCCGCGAGAGCAAAGAGATTCGTTCAAGAGCGGGCCGCGCCGCCGCCGCCGCCGCCATAGCTACGCCGTAACAAAGATTGAAGCGGCTGAGCTTGACGCTACGACTGCGATTCGCCGCGAGCACCGCCGCAGGCGCCATAGCTACCACGACACTAGCTGAGCTTGACGCGGCTTCGAGATTGGCCGCAGCCGCCCGTGGTGATGGATATGTGGGGCGGCAAGCACTGCCGATTTTTTACTCCTCGGCGATCTCGGCGATAATTTCGGGGATCTCGGCGATAATTTCGGCGATTTCGGCGATGGTCTCAGCGATCTCGGCGATATCTCGGCGTGAGTGCCTGAAGCGCGGCGCTTTCAAGAAGATTGCGCGGCGCGTGAGGTAGTACGCTCATCGCGAGCGTGTGAGTCCCAGCGATCCGGAAGGAACACAGACCTCTACCTAGACAGGTTGTTTTCTGTTTCGAGTCGACTCAAAGTACGGTCATCGCGAACGTGTGGGTCCCATCCCAGCGACCCGGAAGGGACACAGACCTCTCTAAACAGGTTGTTTTCTGCGCACAGCCATAAGCAGATGGTTTCAACCCCCGCTGTCGCCTTTGCAGCGCTGCGTGTGGTTCTCTACTTCGTAAGAAACCCTTACGTACGACACCCTATTATTACTAGGGTTGCGACTGTAACCCTTGCGGTGAAACATCCTCCCTGTTAATATAAGGCAGTGACTGGCGCACGAAATGCGGCCGAAGATATCACAACGGAGGGCGTTCGTCGAATGGAAACGGCTCGCTTGAAACGGCTTGCCTGAAAGGGCTTATTTCCAACAGGACTCCTCGCCGATTTGTCCTCACAGAAACGTAGCTGCAGCTATCGCGTCGCATCGCCTGGCCTTTTCCGCGAATCGCCATATTGCCGTTTTGTTCGTTCTCCTCACGCGTGACAGGGAGCATGCGTTGCTTACAGTACGATGCTCACATATACCCGTTGCTGCTCAAAGCTGCTAAAAACTGCAGTCTCTCCCAAGCTTGCTCTCTAATGGACAAGGGAACCAGGTTGAGTGGAAGGTTGCATTGCCGAGCATCACGGAAAAATACACATGATGGCCGTTTGAGGAGCACACACGTTCAGTGAGAGAGACGGGTCCCTCCCGAAATCACGTACAAACCTGATCACGGGAAACGGACCATCGTTTTTGTTACAGTCCCAAAGACACCTACAATCTACGAACGCGCGAATCAGGACAACACGGGTGACCAAGACGTACAACATAAACTCGCCAAAGTAGACTCCATTGTAACAAACCAACTTACCATGACATTCTTTCATCCTCTCCATAATACAGAAAAATACAACCAGGTTCGGCAAACCAAATTTACAACGAGAATAAAAACACGTCATCTTCTCTTGCCTACCGAGAATACTTTAAAGCACCTGTACCCCTTACAGCTTGTCACAAACGGAATGCAAATCTGCCCGTTGGGGCAGACCTTCCTCAACACGCAGGGACGCTCATTCTTCTTATTCTGACACACCCAAGGGCAAATGCGCCGACGCTTGACCGCACAGCTCGTGTGCTTACGAGGAGCGGGGGGGGGAGAAGGCGGAGGCGGGGGAGGAGGGGAGGGAGGCGGAGAGGGGGGAGGAAACGGAGGAGGGGAAGGAGGCGGATGAGGGGGGGAAGGAGCAGGTGACGGAGGGGGGAAAGGAGCAGGTGAAGGAGGGGGGAAAGGAGCAGGTGAAGGAGGGGGAAAAGGAGCAGGTGAAGGAGGGGGAAAAGGAGCAGGTGAAGGAGGGGGGAAAGGAGCAGGTGAAGGAGGGGGGAAAGGAGCAGGTGAAGGAGGGGGGAAAGGAGCAGGTGAAGGAGGGGGAAAAGGAGCAGGTGAAGGAGGGGGGAAAGGAGCAGGTGAAGGAGGGGGAAAAGCGGGAGGAGGGGGAGGAAAACCGGCAAGATCACCAACAGCAGCTGTAAGGGTAAAAACGAGGGTAAACATGGGGAGTGGGGAGGGGGAGGAAAGGGAATGGGGGGGAAACAACCTGTTTAGTTAATTGGAAGGAGGGTATCAGAAGCAAACGTAGATACAGAATGTAGACAGTCATTGAGTTGGGAAGAGAACGGGAGAGCAGACGGGGGGTCCTCCGTATCATCATTAGGCACATCCGCAGCTATAAGAAGAGAAGGGGTATACGGGGGTAAATACGAGGAGCTGGGAAAGTGCAGATAGGGGGGTCCTCCGTCTCATCAGTAGGCACATCCGTAGCTATAAGATGAGCAGGGTAAATACGAGGAGGGTAAATACGAGGAGGGTAAATACGAGGAGGGTAAATACGAGGAGGGTAAAGACGAGGAGGGTAAAGACGAGGAGGGTAAAGACGAGGAGGGTAAAGACGAGGAGGGTAAAGACGAGGAGGGTAAAGACGAGGAGGGTAAAGACGAGGAGGGTAAAGACGAGGAGGGTAAAGACGAGGAGGGTAAAGACGAGGAGGGTAAAGACGAGGAGGGTAAAGACGAGGAGCTGGGAAAATGCAGACGGGGGGTCCTCCGTATCATCATTAGGCACATCCGCAGCTACAAGGTGAGCAGGGTAAATACGAGGGGGCTAGATACGAGGGGAGTAAATACAAGGAGGGTAAACACGAGGAGGGTAAACACGAGGAGGGTGTATACGAGGGGGGTAAATACGAGGAGGGTGAATAAAAGGGGGGGAAATACGAGCGGGATAAACAACTTGTTTAGATAAACACGAAGAGGATATAATAAACGGATGTGGATACACTAAGAGGATATAATAAACGGATTTGGATACAAAAAGCAGAGAACACTACAAGAGATGGGAAGGAGCCGCGGGGAGAGCAGACAGGGGCAAGAAAGGCGGGACTCGGGAGGGAGAAGAAAGGAGAAAGCGTGAGATAGAGATATCATCAACAGCCGATGGTCATATCCGCTTGAAAGGCACGCGCCGGGCATGTGGGAAGGCCGAACGACTCACATGCTGGCGTGACGATCAAGACAAGCAGCAAAGCAACGGCGGCGAGAAGCAGTGCCGCCTCCCTGGAGGTGGTAAACGGAACCGCCGGCGGCGCGGCACAAAACCGACGTGAGGAGAGCCGAGGCGAGAGCGAAGAGTTATGTCCAAGAACCTCCTCTTGGAAGCTGACTCCACAGCCTAGCCGAGCCGAGGCGAGAAGGTCCTCTTGGGCATTACTATGACGCTTCTGCTGAGCGGGTGCTGACGCCACAGCCGACGCTAGTACGATGGTAGCTGAGCTTGACGCCCCGAGATTCGCCGTTCCCGCCATGGATGTGAGCATGAGCGGGGCTGCCAATGACGGTTTTGTCTCCGAGATCTCAGCGATCTCGGCCGCGATCTCGCAGCGGGTGTGACTGAGACGGGCGTTTGAAGCAGATCGCACGACGTGGGGTGCGCGAGTCCTGCTTTTGCTTGCGAGCCTTGGCTGGCGACGCGAGCAGAGGCGTGACAAGAGGGCTAGTAGTAGTGTCTGACGGCATTTACCAGAGGTAGCAGAGGTGTGCACAGCCAGCACCAGAAGGTATTCTCGTGCTGCCTTTTGCCATGCCAGAATCTGTTAGGCAGCGGAATTCTGTGCTTCTCTTCCTTTGATTGTCAAGATCCCAGAACGGAACGGAACCCTTGCGACTCTGTCACGGAACGGAACCCTTCTCTTGCAACCCCATGCGATCCCCCCCTTGCAAGCGACCCTAGTACTACTCCAGGGTTGAGTCCCAAGCGTGTCACTTTCAATTGAGTGCAACGCGGCAACGCGCCGCTCGGCAAGATGTCAAATTGAAAGTAAGCCTTGCGGAGCAACATGACTTGCGCACGAAACGCGGAGCAACATGACTTGCGCACGAAACGCGGCGTGACGTCAACCACCGCATGGAAACGGTTCGCTTGAAATCGCTTGCTTGAAACGAGACGCCTCGCCGCAGCCGACTGGTAGATAATTACGTCCCGTCTCCTTGCCTTCCTAAGAGACGCCAGCGTGTAAACCATACAGCGAGCATGATCTTGCCGATTTGAGAAGTACTCACCTTACACGTGACAGAGCATAGATCACCAGTAGGGTGTGGCTGCGTGGTCCCCGCTGCTGCTCAAAGCTGCGTCTCCGCCGTCTCTCCCGCTCTCGCTTGCCCTACTTCACACACTCATTGCTGACAGTTCCTGTGAACAAAGAATTATTAGGGTTACTCCAAGGTCGCACTTACCATTTACTTGTTGCTTTCAAAAACGCTAAGTGTCAACATTAGCTACGAAAACAAGCTAAGAGAATGGTTGACAATCGCGTATGCGCATTGTATACCCCAAAATGTGACACATAAGCGCGTCAAACACCCCGGCAAGCGTATCCTCTTTTAAAACCCATTTCAAACGGTTTCTTAGTTCGCACGTTTGTAGTTCACCGACAGTTTTCCGTAGATTTCGTTTCGTGTCTTCAACGATATTCTCCGCCAACCACTTCGTTGCTAGTGATGCTGGGCTTGCGAAAAAGGCGATTGCGTTCGTGCACCAATAGATTTCGTCGTAACCAGCGCAAATTTGTCGCCAACCAGCTGCCTTTGCTTTGTGGGCGAAAACGTGGGTATGGATTTTCCGACAACCCAGATAAGGCGAACAACTGCCATGCTCATACAGTAGTGGCATCGATTTCGTTGCGTTATTTCTTGAAGTACGTACAACCAGTCCTAGGTTGCGACCTCACCGCCGACTCTTAGGAGCCGATTCGTCCCGAATCCCGATCGACTTGTGCTTCGTTGCCCACACGACACGAAACCGGATCCTTTCAATGCATGGGATTCGATAATCTCTGCTGCGACACTGTTGCCACTGGCAACGGGTTCACCTCGTTGACGTCGCGACGTGACATACGTTCAAGGGCAGTGGCGGCAACTCGCATCACACTCTCCGATGTTGGCGAGTTCTCGTCGGTTAGCGATAAGTTATCGCCAAGTGGTGGTGGGGTTTTGAGATGTCTCAAAACGAGTTCCCGTCGGTTACTACCGAGAAGTTATCGCCAAGTGGTGGGAACTGCTTAGCATAGTTCGGGGCCTTGTTGTACTGTAACTCCGTGAGAACTTTAAACCATACACCGCGGTGAGTTTTTGTAGGTTACCCTGAGGTATCCTGCATTTTGGTTGAGTTGGGCCACGCGCAATCTTTATTGGGTCTATTTGCGGGGACGGCGAATTTCGGGGCGTCAAGCTCGGCTGCTATCATCGTACCGTACCAGCGTCGGCTGTGTTGTCAGCATCCTCTCAGCAGACTTGCAATGCCCAAGAGGCGCTTGAACAATCATGCTCTTCGCCCTTGCCTCGTCTCCCCTCGTTTTTTTGTGCCTCGCCGGCCGTTAGTCTTCTGCTTGTTTTAATCGTCGCGCCAGCAATTAAGTCGTGCGGCCTTCCGACATGCTCGGCGCGTGCCTTTCGGGCGGACTTTTCCGAGTCGGTATGGTCGGATTATCTCCTGTCCATCATATAGTTCTCTTCGACACGCTTCTCCTTTCTTTTCCCCTCCAGATCCTCCCTTTCTTCCCTCTCCTGCATTTCGTAATCCTCAGCCGTTTCTGGTCCCCTGTTTATCTAAACACGCTGTTAAACCCCGTCGTATTTACCTACGTATTTTCCCATCTCATCTTTATAGCTGCGAGGGTAGGTTCTCCCCCTACTCCCCTTCCCCCCCCCTCCTCCCCCTCCTGCGCCCTCCAGCTGCGCCGTCAAGCAGTGACGCATGTGCCCGTGGGTGTGTGACAATAACGAGAGTGATCCTCCCTGCCTCTTGAGGAAGGTTTGCCACAAGGGCTATGTTTTGCATTCCGTTTGTGTGGAGCTCCAAGGGGTTCAAGTGCTTGAAGGTCTTTTCAGTGGACAACAGAGGATGACGTGCTCGCCTTTCATTGTACATTTTGTTTCCTTGTAAATATGAAAAATTATGAAATAAATTTCAAAATTTAAAGATTATGACAATACACGTAAAGGAGAATGCAGTAAGGAGTCTATCGCTCCTTATATTGTGGCAGGTTTACGGACCTGCCACCTAGTCCAAAAATCATTTCTAGATCTAGTTTAGAACAGCACACCTACCTAAACCTTGCACCCTTTACTACTACTCATCCGCCATTGCTACTAAGATTATCCTGACCCTCGTTTCACTCCACATGACGAGATCGTCACTTCTTCAGGTTGATGCGGTGGCGAGTTTACAGTACTTGTGCAGGGCAAATCGCGAATTACGTTAGTAGTGAGACGCTGGTGCGAATGGTGTGATTTCGGCATGCTATTGCTGTCTGCGCCTTGGGGCTGCTGCTGATGTTACGAGACCCTGCTATTGCTGATGCTATGCAACCGCTGCTTCTCACGCACTGTCATTAGTGTTGACGTGCGGCCTGCCGTTCCTCCCACGCGATCTGGTGCTGCCGCTACGAGATCTGGTACTGTCGCTGCGCGATCTGAGGTCGGTGCTCGCGATCTTCTCCTGTTACGAAATCTGCTGCCGGTGCTCGCGATCTGCTGCTTTGCTCACGATTTGCTGCTGCAGCCTCGAGATTTGCTGCTGGTGTTCACGATTTGCTGCTGCAGCTTCGAGATTTGCTGCTGGTGCTCACGATTTGCTGCTGCAGCTTCGAGATTTGCTGCTGGTGCTCATGATTGCTGCTGGCGCTCGCGAATCGCTGCTTGCGCGCGAGATTTCCTGCTGACGCGGAGATATGCTGCTGGAGGTTTGCTGCTGGAGCCCGAGATTTGCTCCTAGCGCGCGAATTTCTGCTGCTGGAACGCTAGATTCTGCTACTGGCGTGCGAGATTTGCTGCTGGCGCGGAGATCTGCTGCTGGCGCGGAGGTTTGCTGCTGGCGCTCGAGATTTGCTCCAGGCGCGCGAGATTCTGCTGCTGACGCGCTAGATTTTGCTGCTGGCGCGCGAGATCTGCTGGTGTAGCTGCGCGATCTGCTCCTGCTG